TCGAGTTTTAAAGGCAAAAGAAAATTCGTAACTTAGGAATTCCAGGTACATAATCTGATACTTTTTCCTTAGAGGCTTTTTAAGATAAACACTATTTTATGTCAACTTGAAACACATAAGCGATACATCAGCTCCCAAAGGTTGCAAAAAGTTAAAAAAAGTGCGCTTAGTCTTGAACATTTTAAATAAAAGTAAAATATATGCTTCGCAAAGTAATAATTTGGTTATTCACATGCATGTTGCAAACTTTTTACCGGCTAAAAATTTTGTAAGTGGTTCGTTCGCAAGGTACACTAATCCTATGATAATATTTCTCATTAAAAGTGAATTTGCTATGGTTTGGAGCCCTTTAAATATATATTTAACCAACGGCTAATGTGAAAATCGCCCTAATTTTTTGAAAATTTTAAAGCATGTACACGCAGAGGAGCGTGCTAGCTTTCAGAAGGATTTAGCTTTTTTCAGAAGGTACCGGGCTCGAATGCCGTCAGGCGCTTACTTAATTTTTTTCCAAAACATGAAAAAGCATTTGAGAAATGGAAAAGGAAAGCGTATTGAATGAAGAAATCAATCAGAAAAAACGGCCAAAAACGTTCCTGCTGCCTTAAATGTCTTCGCAATTTTGTCAGCTCGACTTCGTCTGATAAGCTGTGAAATATTTTTTTTTGCAGTTCACATTTAATTTTGTTGAATTCAGCCTCATTGTTTACTTCCATTTTTTAACAAATATAAGATTCTTTGCTTTCACCGCATTCTGTTTTTGTTTACAAATGCAACCCTGCCCATCGTTTGACACTTTTCAAGAACTTACAGGAAAAAAAACTCCGGACTAAATCCTGTACCTTCTGACTAGGAACAGCTGCTCAGTTACTCTATCAAAAGTGTTCCCACTTACAGGTTTTATGTCTAGAGGAACGACTTCCTGTAAGTTCTGACTAAATTCTGTAAACCGGACTGCTATTGGAAACAGACTAAATATGAATGAATAACACAAATGCATAGCAATAACACATCATTAGAAATGAAGGATAATATGCTAGAACTGGTAATACAAAAAAAAAACTTACAAATCCTCGGTATTTTTGGAGACTTAAAACTTCCACTTTATTATATTAAAATTTGGGACTTGGAAAGTGTTAACTAAATTTTCAAACAATTCTGAATAAAAAATTGGGGTATGCAGTTTTATATTATAGCCCATTCATTTTTAGTACAATATTTTGCAAGATTAAGATTTTTGAATATATTTGCAGGCGGATTTTGCTTATTCTCCCATATATGTAATTATATAAAATTTTCGAACACACTTTGCAAGAAGAAAATGCGTTACACCGCCAGCAAAAAAAAAAAAACTCAAATCTTAGCCACTTGAAACTTTTAAAAATATACCGATTTCACTATGAAAGGTAAACGAGGTAGACCAGAAAAAGACACTGAGGCAGGTTCTGCAATTCACTTCCGAGTGAATTTCAATTAGATGGCGGTGAAACTGCTTTACACTGCCCCACGAATCCACTTGCCAAGTTTTGTTAATACCATGTTCTGACCGACAACGAAAACACCTTGAAAACGAGTTTTCAGATTGTGGGCTGAAGGCTGTTCACACCGACTGTTGGTGTTTTCGTTGACATTTCTTTCTTTCAACCTTTGTTTACAGTTTTGCTACAAAAAAAAAACAAAACCAAAATACTTTTCCTTCAATTTCTTTTCATTAAAAACCTTTTACTTCCATGCTTACTTTATTTTGGCCAGCCAATTAACAATAAATCCGAAATGACGTATTAAAGATGATAAAATATGATTTCCACCTCGATAAATAATCGAAAAAAACTAGTGCAGACACTGATTGGAATAAGTGGAACGTGAGTTTTCAAGTGGTTTTCAGCGAAAACTAGTTTTCGTTTGACAGATTTTACATGGACGAAAACACAAGTTTTAGGTCGAAAACCAGTTTTACCAACGAAAACATGTTTTCGATGTCGGTCAGAACATGGTATAATTCTAAAAGCGCTGACCATTGTAAAAATTGTGATGTAAAAAAATTACTTTTGTAATTTGAACTAAACGTACAGTTCACCTCTGCGTAAAGTGTGAAAATAACTGTTTAGTCAAAATAATTTTTTTTTTTTAAATTGTATTTTTCTGAAATCATATGGAAATAAAGCTGAATTTAAATTTGTCGTTGCCATATGCATATAAGTTTGTATTATATAGAAGGTACCATTCCCTGCAAGAACAGTGACTATCATTTGACAAATCATTTGATGGGCAAGACTGATGGAGATTTCTGTCACTGGCTACCTACAAGTTTCTATCAAATTCTAAAGGGCAGTGTGAAAAATCTGATGGAAACTTTCGTGTACGTGTGATGCTTCATCTCCTTCTGGCATATACGTTTTGGCATATTGCTATACTGCTCACTCCCATTGAGTTCGGCATTCAGATTTGAATTATCAGTGATGTAAATCTTCGACAATTATGAGTGATCAACCTTGATAGAAATATAAGTCAGCAATGTGCAATCAAATTTGATGTAATAACCGATCATTCATGACACATCAAGTCTGACAGGTTTGCCTATCATTCCTGATTATTCACAGCTGATGTAAAAATTCGTCAAGTCTGATCTCTCACGCATGATTAGAAAGCTATCATTAATGACACATTTAAGACATATTTTTTTTTTCTTTTATTTCCGTAAAATCTTAAGACCTAATTATTAATCATTAAAATATTAGATGATAATTAATTAATGTCTTACGAACATCAACCAGTATGAGTTTGTTCAGTGGTTTTCTCTCCCATCTTCCGTCCCAGTTGAATTGCAGCAATGTTTCGTCCGTAAATAAATGTTTAATGACGCTGCCTACGTCCTCAGACACACCTTTTGTTTTTGATATATGTAATTGACCTTTGAAAAATGTATGTACAGCAATTAGAACGTGAAATATGTATTCCATAATATAATTCATTATCATGGCTTGTGCATACTCTGGATCTTTTAATTTTGTTTCTATTAAATCCACAGCGCAATAGGACTGCAGTGGTAGAGAACTAGCGATGTGACGCAATTTTTTAATATTGGATTCGTAAATCCTTTTTTCTTGCTCATGGCGGTATTAAAAGCTCTTTTATTCATTTTAAATGAAATATTTTATAAAACTTATCTTTATTTTTCCACAGCACTTTAAGTTTTGAACATCTTTTCGTTTTGCGTCTTTCTTTTTTCTGTTGATGTGCGCATTTGAACTTCTTCAGTACCAAGTACTTTATAATACGGTTTTATTTATTACGTTTATATATAAAAAGAATGTCATACCACAATGAAAACTTTTATTTTTACTTACTATTGCTATGAGCGGGGTCGAATAATGATAAAATTAAAATTAAACTAATTAAGTTCAAAATTATATCCAAGTACTTCAGTACTCGACATTATTTGGCAGGTACAACTACTTTTGTTGCGCACAAAATGCAGCCCTAGTGAATCTTGTGGTTTCTATGGCAACCAACTACCGTTACTTCTATCAGCATTGACACTCACTTGATCGATCAAATGACAGTCATTCCCTACGGAGCCAAACTGGCATATAAAATTTTGCATATGTGTTAGTTTTCGTTGAGAATGTGTTAGAGTTTCTGTCATTCGCGTCTTGTAGGGTTCCTAATTAGTAAATTATAAATTATTTAAATGCATATACATTGTACATACATACTCCAATTCGGTTATTATTAAATTTATCCGTTTGTAAATGTTAACGTAGGCTTTGTAGTATTTTAAACACTAACAAATATTGTCATTGTTTTATTATTGTTTTGTTATTGTATAGGTTCGCCGGTAGCACAAACACTTCGTCCTCTCAATACAGTAGCTTTAGTGCAAGTGCTAAATTGAAGGATACGGCAACAGCGTCAAGTGGTTCGCATTATGAGGGGTAAGCAGCAATTCTACTTCTAAATTCTCGTTTTGATTGACTGTTGTAATTGCTTGATTGATTGGTAATTCGATTACACATAAACTAATATGCATCCTAAATATTATAATATATTATTAATATTTGCATCTTACATATATATGTACTACTTGTGTCTATTTAATGTTAAATAACTTATTTTTTTATTCGTTTCAGTGTGTCCTCGAGCAACGTGGCTAGTAGTAGTGGAGCAGCTGGAAACTCAGCAGTGTCGGCCAATTCGGTGGCGAATTCGTCAGCGTCGGTTAACTGTAGGCATTTCAGAAAAAAATACATTTATACATTTAATAAAATATTAAATACGTACATATGTCATACTTTACTTGCATGAATATACAAATGTATAGCTGCGAGTAAAATCATAGCAGCAAAAATGATGTTGTTGGCAACTTATGTTTATTTATTTAGTAATAATAATAATGTTTCCACGCTTACACTATTATTGCTAAGTGTTTGGCCGCGGTTCTGCAATTTGTGGCGTATCTCTTGATATTACACAAATGGAGGAACCTACAGTTTTACGCCGCCTACGAACGGCAAATGAATTTTATGAGAAGCTTTGCCAACCGCTGTTAGATAAAGCATTTTATAATTTAGATGTTGTTGGACCAGGACTTGAACCCAGGTCTTGGGGAGTGGTAGTGCGCAAGTAAATATTTTTATATGGAATGCGCAACACTTCACAGAAAAAAATCTAAAAGATCAACCACTTTACAAACCTAATTCATTCTCTAAAAAAATACCATGGAAACTCAAGGTTTAAAAATTTTGTAGGAAACTAAAAAAAAAAAATTCAACAAATATTCCTCCAAATTTCAAACTTTTTTCTCTGAAGTATTCTTTGAGTATACAGTTTTCTAGCCCATTTAATTTTATTGCAACTTTCATGTTGCTAAAAAAGAAAACTGCAACACCTTGTACAGAATAAAAAAAAAAATATTTAAATAAATAAATAAACATAAGTGGCGCAAGTGGTGGTGGTGAAATAGGGGTGTTCATGATGTAACCGATACTGTATGTTTGTACTAACACCATTTCTCTACACTGTTTTGTAGCTAACAACTCAAATGTGAACAGTAACAGCTCGAGCGTGGGAGCAAACAACAGCGTTAGCAGCGCTAGTAACAGTAATACAAACAGTAGCAGTACTGTAAGCGGCGGTGGTAGCGGCGCTGGCGGCAGCGGTAGTGGTAGCGGCAGCGGCGGAGGTGGTAGCAGCAGCAGCAACCCCGCATCTGTGGTGGCCGCAGCAGCTGCAGCCGCAGCCGTTTCATCATCTTCAAATAAAACAAGCGCTAGCGGAATGGTGCCCAACATCCAAATGGTTAGTCAATATATACAGACTGGATTGCCATACTATCAGCAACCAGTTTATTCTTACGAGGATATACAAATGATGCAACAGAGAGTGCCACACGTGGTGAGTTCGCATATGGAGAAATGCAAAACTTAGAAAAATCAATCCAATGAAAATTTCACAAGCATCCATTAAAAATAAAATGCAATTAGGTGTTTAATCATTACTACTTTTGGTTATGTAATTACCTACAGATGTATGTATTTAAATAGCTTCTCCTATTCACATTCTTACATAAACTGCTCGTTGTGGTCTAATCGCATACAAAATTCATATCCATCTGCACTTCCTAACACCCTATTCAGATTGAAAAATCTCTATTCATTTCCTTCCACTTGGTCTTAATTGTATAATAACAAGCAAAAAAGAACAAAAAAAAATCAGAAATATTTCACACCCTGCATTGGTTATCTATCCAAAAAATTAATTTACATATTTTGATATTCTATTCAAATTGAAATTGGCTATAACAAGACCGCTTTAAAATTAGTCTATTATGTGTGTAGCAACTTCAATGTGGAGGACTAAACTTATAATAAGCATGTAGTTTGAATGCGTTACACACAGCGCCTTATTACTCGCACATAACTTTCCAAACCCATTTCTGTAAGCATTTACAAAAGAGTGTACTCAACTCTTAACTAATTTGGGTGAATGATAACCATTTAAATTTGTTACCGCTCCATCCATTTTTCAGTTTTCCTTCTCCCATATGATTTAAGTGAATCTAATTCTCCATCCCAACGCTTATTTGTAATATGTTGCCTTTATTGCATCGCAATTTCTTTTGTAAATAATAAAATGCATGAAATGAAACGAAGCACATAAGAAATATTGTTGGCGGCAAACAATTTTTATTGATATCGAACAACAAAAACGCCGTTTCAATGACAAAATGTATCAGGGGTTCAGCATGCATGTACATATGTCTCCACCATACCACCCCAAATATATTTTAAATTTAATCGTTGAGAGTGACTGTATGAGCTCCGTTTCATTTTAATGTTTATATTTTCATTCTTCGCTAGTTTTGTGCCTAACCCTCTTTACTTTTTAAATGCATTCAAACCAATTTTTTGTTTTGATTGCAGCAAGGATATTACGATCTCAACTACACTCCGACCAGTTTGGGCACTGGTCGCGATAACTTGGGCTCTGTAGCATATTCCACCATGACTGATGCACGTTTCGCTAGAACGGACAATAATTCTAGCCCAGTTAGCAACGTAAGTAAAAGTCCATATCAAATGTATGGTTGCCTAATTTTTATATATCAATATAGGTGTCAAGTACAATGTCACAGCAAGCAGGCTCTAGCGGCCCAATGCTAAATGTTCCTTACTACTTCTATAGCGGTAATGTTATGCCTGGCAGTTTTCAGTATGGCACACCGGCCATTTATCCGGTATGTTGATAACACTATTCCAACAATTTTAAAGTTATAAAAATAACAATAAAATATATTGAACCTTTTTTACTTGCAGCAGCAAATTCCAGCTGCTAATACAGCGTCGGGTGGCCAATTCCCGAAACCTTCATACAACACTGGTTATGGTTCGACCAGTTATGATACGTTATCTCAAGCTTCGCAGGACTATACAAAGGGCGCTTACCCGTCGAGCGTTAATCAGCAATCGAAGTCGCAAAATGTCGCCAATCCGCCTCAAACTGGAACGAGTTCGGATATTACATCGTCCATGTATGGTAAGGGACATGTTGCGCTGAATAAGGTCAATGTAAGTGTATAAGCTAACATTTGAATGTTGAAAGTATTAGTCGAACTCTATTTTGATTCGCAGTCATATGAGAAACAAAATTTCCATTCGGGCACTCCACCACCATTCAATATGCCGAATACACAAACAGCTGGTGGCACCTCAGCTCAGCCCTACGGCATGTACTTGCCAATGCCGACAGCAGGCCATCACAATATGATTCATCAACCAATCCATCAGGTAATGTAATAGGTATTAATACTATATTTATGTATCAAACAAACTAGGTATACCTACTTGCACACTAATTCCTTTACCTATGCTAATAAGCATATGCATACATACATATGTACATATAAGGAACTTTTATTAGATTACTTTCGCCCTACATCTGTATTTACATATTTTACACTAATAACTACAATTGGCCTTCCTTAAGTATAAAGTATATAAACACGCTACGTACAGTTAATTCTAATCTGTCAAAGAAAATGCACTCTTGTGTGTACAAATTCAAAAATATGAGAAGTCATTTAGTTAGGACTCATAAGGTCGAGGCCTCGCAATGAGCGGCAAAGCGGCGAGCTGTGAGCGGCTTAAAATTAAAACATGAAATACTATTGAAGTGGCGACGCCTTACGAGACTTGAAACTATGCATAGTAATTCTAATATCTCCTATCCATTTCATCGGTTAATCTCAAATTGTTGTGTTAAAAAACTAAGAAATCACTCAAATGAGTATTGGAAAAAATAGTCAGATACTAGGTAGGCATTTTTTAATAAAAGGCAAAGAAATGTATGGCCCTAATATGTATGGCGACTGGGGTCTAGTTGCTGGTCTAGTAGCCATGGCTACCAGTATCGTAATTTGTATGTATAGCGATTAGTCTCAGTATACAGAAAAGCGCACGTTTTGAAATGAACTTTTCCCAAGTAATTGGCAACTTTGCTTCAATGGTGTTCAACAATTTATCATCTATCATATCTATCTATAGCTATCAGTCGCCATACATAATGGGCCATTAGCAAAATTTTGACTCCTATTTTGACTATTTATTTTCAAGGCGAAATTAAACACAATTTTGCTGATATTATTAAAACAGAGGGTAACTGATAATTTTTGCATTTTTTTCGGCTATTTAGTTCAAAAAATATTTGAAAACTTTGTCTTTTAATTTGCCTTAAAATGCTGAGAAATATGGCAACTTCATAGACCTCGTAATATGCCACCACTTTCTGCTGGCAATAACTATCTGCGACAGCCATTCTACTCAGTATGCCTTTAGGCCTGGTATATCCACCATAGACCAGGTATTTACCATCCGCCACACCATATGTTTGTGGAGTTTTAAGCCATTTTTTACACCACGAAAAGGAGGTGCCATTACGCCACGCTGCCAGAATTTGGTATACCCGCGGAACTTAAACGACTGTGTAAAATTACGTTGAGCAATTACACCAGCTCCTTCAGAATTAGGAAGGACGAGGTTTCAGACGAGGTGACTCTTTCGTGTGTAACGCTCGGGCTAGTTTTTTTTTACAAGGGCGTACAAATGCTGGCGTATGCCCATGATATTGTTGTTGTTTTTGTAACAGCATATATATTCCCCTAGGAGTTTTTGGGGAGTGTTGCTGGAGTGACAGTCCTTGGCCAGATAAAAATCTGGATCGTTCCAGTTACGTAGACCCGACTACATCTATTCTGCCTTCTCGGAGTTAGAAAGAGAAGCAAAATGCGCGGGTCTGGTGATGAATGACAACAAAGCGAAGAGTCACCTGCTATCAGACAAACAAGGTGTCCGCGTTTTGGCATCCACGTCGCGGTGACAATTATAAGTTCTTAAAAATAGACGACTTCGTTTATTTAGTAGCCAGCATTAACACCCAATCCAACGGAGAATTCTTCCTTCCAACCAGTGTTACTTTGGAAGGCAATTGGGAAGTTAAGTCCGCTCTCTTCGTACAAAAATTACTATAAGTCATTCATCATGCCCATGCTGGTGCATGGCGCAGACGCGTGGGCAATGAAAACATGTGCTGCGGCGGCTCTTGGAGTGTTCAAGAGAAAGATTTTGGGTGGCTCGGCCATGCCGTATGAATGGACACATACTCCGCCTTCCATCTCTGAAAGTATGAAATGCAGATCACGATGCTGGTAACAAAGGCCAAATAGAGAGGGCTTGACTCTTGGACTTGGCATTTCCAATTGTCGTCAGTTGACCCAGATGAGAAATGGTAATGAGTATCGTGATCGCCGTTGTCTTTTTTAAAGAATACAGGGTATGATTCCACCGGATTATAAAGCAAACCAGACAGTGAGTTTTTGTGAGTGTTGTTGTTGTTGTAGCAGCAGTGCTCAACCCCCCGGCTTCTGTCATGAATCATCCATCGTCTTCTTCCTCCGACTCTGTTAGCCTGAGGCCGAGAAAGCGGGCGGCGTCGATGGGCGCGGTCCAGAGCGCTTCTGGTGTCAGGGTCGTAGGGGGAGTGTAACGGTGCCTTCTGAATCTCTTGCGGACTTCCACTCCAAATGAGTCAACTTTTCTTTTTGAAATGTTAATGGAATGGAGCCAAAATTGAGCCTCAGCAATAATAATAATATAGCGATAAAAAAGAGGATTGACATTCCTGAATTAAAACCCATTAAAAAAAAAACTTTGCACAATTTTTAAGCCTAGTAGTGGCGTTTACCTTGCCAGGTCTGACCAATTTGTAACCGTTTAATCAAACCTCTGAAATAAAAACGGTTTGCGATTATTCAGTGTTTATTTCGGTTCAAAGAAACCAAAACCGAAAACCGGTTTTTGGGTAAACCGAAATTAACTTTCCTGTGTTTTTTTTTGAAATTTTAAATCGAACATTATTAACCTGTAGCTGTGAGCAAAGGGTCTCACAGACCTTTTGATTTCACGTCGAAAAAGACTGAAACTGCTATTTGTGTTTGTTTCGATTATATAATGAAGTACATATATCGACGTTAAATCTTTTCGTTTTAGGCCTATTTATCATAATTGAGATTTTACGAAAAAACTACATAAATCTGTTTACATATATGCATAGAGGTTGTTCACACTTGCCTGGTTATCTGCTTGGAAATTATTGCGTAGTGATTTTTTTGTTGTAAACTGAATAAAAAATACAACCACATAACCACCAAAGACCGAAAATAACTGGTCCACATTGAACACATTGTAATTTTTGCTATCATTAACCATTTATTTTTTTAATTTTTGTGATATGTCGCTGTGAAAGCGTTTTATGCGAGGGAGCTTACGGTTAATGACTGTGCGAAATGGAATCGTTAACGAAAATAAAGGCCACAACCGAAGTTATTTATGCAATTTTTTATTTATTTTTTGTTGAAAAGGTGAGTTAGCAAATTTAATTATGATTCAGAGAAAATATATGACGAAAATGCAACGAAGTAAAACAAACTATAAAGAATAGCAAGTAAAACTATTTTTATTCACGAAAATGATCACCGCTATAAACTTTTTTTTTACAAACATTACTCACTGAAACTTTTTTAGGTTTGTTCGTCGAGCAAAAAATTTGTACGAATTTGTACGAATTATCACGATTTTTGCCCAAATCGCTTTCGTGCAGACCAAAAAATTATCCAACACTCAAAAATTGTGAGAGCAAAGTGACAGTTCTCTTGGAGAGATGTTGCAAATTCTTGCTGGAAAAAATTTTGCCAGCAAGAATTTGCAAACACGAAAAACATGTGGTTGTGGCGCATGGTTGCATTTTTGTCTACAATAATTTGAATAAATTAGTTCGTTAAATTTAAAAATTTATAAACACGAGCGATTTTTTTTATGAAAAACGAAAGTAAATAATTGTTGATATAATTAATTTAGTTAATTCCAATGATTTGAACTTAATTCGGCTGAAAAAATGGTATTCGCTATCGGAATGCAATTGCAACCAGAGTCGATTTAAGAAACCCGACAGCTAGTACGATGAAGAAATTGAAATGTATGTTAAAGAAAGTCAGAACAACAAGAAATATACATGTATATCCTGTTTTTGGCCATCCGAAAGAATTTTAAAAATTCTATAAAAAATGTTTATGTTTGAAATGCAACCGTGGACGCCAGCTGGCAGGGAAACTTGCAAATTCCTGCAAATTTGCGTTCGTGCAGAAATTTGCAAGTTTCTCAACATGAGAGAGAATTTGAGAAAATGTTTTCTTACTCTCTGATATTTTGAGTGTTGGATAATTCTTGCTGGATTTTCGACGAACAAACCTTTTATCACTACTCGTATCTAAGTCAAAAAAGCTGCGTAATTCAACGCTTGATTTTTGGCCCATCTTCTTCCCTTCAATAAATAAACTATACTAACTAGAAGCAAACTAACGAAGCACCTCACTAAGTATTTTTAACATACCCACTTGGACACCGTTGCATTTAAAACAAAAAAAAAATAAAAATAAATAAAAACAAAAGGTCAATTAAAAACGCAAAAAAAACAACAAATCAACCAAAAGTCTAACCAACGCAGATAAG